GTAGGGAACTGGGATTGTTTGGCTTATACTGTGTTTTTGGTGCCAAGTGTTAACAGGAATTTGCCTGGTAATTAGACCTGTCGGAATTGCCAAAAGTAAGATTAGAGGCTTCTGCCTGTGGAGTATGTGGTTCAGAAATAGGATGAGCTTTGAGGAAGATTTTAAGAGGAGAGTGAGTAGCTAAAAGTGAGCTGTTGAAAGAAGGTAGGGGGGTGTGGAGGTAGTGTGAAGAATGTGGTCCGAGGGCCATAATTGTTCTTTTGATCAGAAAGTTAGAAAATTTCAGGGTCCTTTTATTTTGCCCGTCAAAGAAAAGAATGAAAGATGAACTCTGAAAATTAGAATATATAATTCTTGTAGATGTTAAATCTCACCTCAACTATGAAATCATAGCTAACTAGGAAATAGCTAGAATTATAGACTTTAGATTCAGCACCATTAGGAGTATTGGGTGAGTGATATCAACATGAGGGAAAAAATGTTGCTAGTTTTAAAAATCTCAAGTAATGACTTGTAATATTTAAAAATGGAAAATTTCCTCCCTTAAATATGACTATGGAAAAGAAAACAAGCATCTTTACTTTGGACCCGTTTATTTAATGATTTTTGACATCTCTAGTAGTTCACATTTAGTAGGCTTATTCATAAACAAAAATTTTGTCACGTTTCAAAAACCAGGATTTGTAGTGCATATAAATGGCATACTCCAAAACAATTCGATTTGCCTGAGCTGTAGTTTAATGCTGAGCTGTATTTCCCTCTCAGATAAGGCATTTTCATCCTCAAGCCTTAAAATTCTGTTTTCTTATTCATGTACGTATGTATCATTTTAATATGTCAGTTCACTGCTTTCCCAGCATTAAGAGTTCTTTTTTTGTAGCTAGATTGTCTCGCTAGCTCGTCTTAGGTCAGGAGAGATGCGTCTGTTTATCACTTGCTTCATTAGAACAGTTGTGTCCAGAACTATATTATCATTCTTTAAAATGTCTGTCTTTTTAGGAGTCCTTCAATAATGTTAAACAGTGGCTGCAGGAAATAGACCGTTATGCCAGTGAAAACGTCAACAAGTTGTTGGTAGGGAACAAATGTGATCTGACCACAAAGAAAGTAGTAGACTACACAACAGCAAAGGTATGTTTAAAGTTTGATTTTCAAACTGAATTGGAAGGTGCTGAATTTGAATTATATATGGGTATGGAGTCACACAATGGCCGCAACCGCCTTAGCTTTTAAAAATACATGCGCCAGAATACTTTGACAGTAATAATTTGTGCAGTGTCTACTTGGATTCAGTAAACTTAGTCCTTCATCAGTCCCCATTTCAGATGATGAAATGCACTAAGTGAAAAAGATTTTTCAATTAATCGTGCCTTATATATTCTCTTAGGAATTTGCTGATTCCCTCGGAATTCCATTTTTGGAAACCAGTGCTAAGAATGCAACGAATGTAGAACAGTCTTTCATGACAATGGCAGCTGAGATTAAAAAGCGAATGGGTCCTGGAGCAACAGCTGGTGGTGCAGAGAAGTCCAATGTTAAAATTCAGAGCACTCCGGTCAAGCAGTCAGGTGGAGGTTGCTGCTAAAATTTGCCTCCGTCCTTTTCTCACAGCAATGAATTTGCAATCTGAACCCAAGTGAAAAAAAATTGCCTGAATTGTACTGTATGTAGCTGCACTACAACAGATTCTTACCGTCTCCACAAAGGTCAGAGATTGTAAATGGTCAATACTGACTTTTTTTTTATTCCCTTGACTCAAGACAGCTAACTTCATTTTCAGAACTGTTTTAAACCTTTGTGTGCTGGTTTATAAAATAATGTGTGTAATCCTTGTTGCTTTCCTGATACCAGACTGTTTCCCGTGGTTGGTTAGAGTATATTTTGTTTTGATGTTTATATTGGCATGTTTAGATGTCAGGTTTAGTCTTCTGAAGATGAAGTTCAGCCATTTTGTATCAAACAGCACAGCCAGTGTCTGTCACTTTCCATGCATAAAGTTTAGTGAGATGTTATATGTAAGATCTGATTTGCTAGTTCTTCCTCGTAGAGTTATAAACGGAAAGATTACACTATCTGATTAATAGTTTCTTCATACTCTGCATATAATTTGTGGCTGCAGAATATTGTAATTTGTTGCACACTATGTAACAAAACAACTGAAGATATGTTTAATAAATATTGTACTTATTGGAAGTAATATCAAATGTATGGTGATAAGTATTGTTTTAATTCTTATGGCTAAAGGGAAATAGAGCCTTGCATTATACTCAAAACAGCCATTTGTGTGTGCAACCAGGGCATTGTAGACCTATCTTAGAGCAGCATCCAATATGCTTTCCAGATAATATAACTAATAAATGACCTAGGGAGGCTTCCGTGCTGCATAGGGATTCAACCAAGTTTAGTGGTTCAGGGAGATGTATGCTATCTAGCCTGTTGTCTCTGATCCTTCTCTAAAACCATTTGAAATGGCTTCATTGATCAACATTTTAATTCTGTGGTAGAGGTGGAAAGCAGCACACCTTTCCTAAGTGGCAGATGATTAGACTAACGTGTGCTAATATTGTTTCTTCATGCTTGGCGTCAGATGTCAGCTCTCTTATCCTCCACAGCTGTGTAGGTTGGAGGCGAGTTAAAGCATTGCGGTAGAACGCAGGAAGTTGACTCTTTGCCCTAATTTTAGAAATTATATCCCTTAAAATTAGCTGAAAACAGGAATGCTGGGTGGGAATGATAAATGAGAGAAATATATTTATTTCAGTCGAATTTTGCACACGTGTGAAAATTCTGTCAACTAGGACCTTAAAGATCTTAGGGTTGGTTTTTATTGCGGGGAACAAAAATCTTTTGCTAAATAACACTGGCATTTTAAGGTGACAGAAGGCAAAGAAAGATTGTTTCCTTGGGTTGAACTAGCAGCCAAAACATTCTTTACTTAGGGGCTTGGGATGTGGCTGTTGGCAACGCATTTCATGGTGGGGTCTTTAATTCAATGGTAAAATTTAAGCTAAAACAAGCCAAAAATTATAGGTTTCTTTATTTTCACTAAACAGGCAATTGAAATACACGGTACAAAAATAAGTGGTAAGATTATTGTAAAATGAAATGGACAGAATAAATATTCAATTTAATTTTCCATCTATGAGAATTTCACAATAAAATCACAGTTTACTTTGTATTATAGATGTGCTTGTTGGATCTATTCATCCTCACATAAGGCAACTGAAAAATTCCTCAAGTTACCAGTAGCTATTTGGATGAAGATTTTTTTTTAATGCTTCAGAAGGTTTGTTTTTTTGCCTTATCAATACAGTATACAGGGGGAAAGAATTCAGAAACTGTGTTTTAAAGTAGATGGTACAAATGTTAGAAGTGTGATGCAGTTCAGTTTTATACAGCAAGTTGTTCAAACTGTCAGCTTATTCTTGGCGAGTTAGCAAAAAACATTACATGAATCTGAGATGTAAGCATATTTACATACTTACTTCGGAAAATTCTAGTGTTCTTTTTCCTCCATGGCAGTCCAGACTGGGGCTTACTGTAAGATGTTTCAGGATGCTTCACTACTTGGCTATTTTAAATTTGCCAACAAATGCAGTTTGGGGGGGAAAAAAAATTCCCATTCCTACCCCCATTTTCAAGTACAAATATTTCAAGCTACTATGGGCTTTTAATAGTCCATTCAACTCGGTAAAGGGAGTTATTGCTTGCCATATTTTAAATAATATAAGTGGCTGCCAAGAATTAGCTTACAGAAGTGAAGAGTATTCTAAACCGAAGCAGTCACAGTCTCTGGGAATCCTTACAGAATAATGATAGCCATTCTGGTATGAGCAGTAACTTCCTGTTCTTCGACCTTGGACCAAAATTTCCTTTGGCATGTATGTTGCCATTGCAGCATATTTTACATCGGCCCTTCTTTATGTTCCCATTTAAACTTCAAAACAGCCCTGTATTGACACTGTCTCCTGTTTGCAGATTAGCTTAGCCATGGAGCTTCAACAAGAACCCAGGTTTTGAAACTGCCAATCCAGCTCCTAGTACTGCCACTTCCCTGTGGACTTAAGTTCTACTAATTTAAGGGGACTACTAGGAAATTATAATACAGGTAAACTTGGGATTTTGGAACTACATGATATGTCACTGTAAGGCACTGCTGTCCTTAAGGTAATATGTACCACAGTGCACTGGCCAGCCAGGCCACTTGAATCTAACCTGGCTGTATTTGCTCATGGAATGCTGCTGGCCGCATCTTCCTAGTCAGAAACAATTTCAGCTTGCGTTGTAAGGGAGGTCTTAAACAAACTTCTTATAGCACGGCCGAAGACATCATTAACAGTTGTGTTGATACTCTTCAGTGGCATTCACAACTAGGTCCAGAGTAGGCACCCTTCAGTCACACCTTACTTCAAAGGAGGTGAACAAAAATATCTTAGATCATCTCTAGGTAAAAGCAGTACTTTGTTGGGAAACAGGGTACTCCGAAATAAAATATTCTGTGAAAATTCCTGTCAGCTGAAGCTGATTATAATTATTAGGTTGAATGGTAGAATGGCATGTTCAGCATTCAACTGCTATAAAATACCATCAGCCAGTTAGTTTCTATAGGGTTGTCATCTTCAATGTTTTTGCTGACGAGTAAGACTTATTTTCATGCCGATCAAATGTTAGTAAATAAATGGTTTAACTCCCAAGGGCTATCTTGTAACACACTCATTGGAAAGGCATGTACCAATTTATAGCCACAGAGAAAAGGTGAAATAATATCAATTTAAGAACAGAGGCCATTAGATAGGCCTTTTAAACCAATTCTAGGCTTTTAAAAATATTTTACATATATAGTGATCTGCTAGGAAGGTGTTTTGTCTTTTTAAATCTCACTATGTGTGGAACCAAGATTAAAATAGAGATGGCAGAATCATAATACACAGTTTAGTTCTGATCATGCCCTTAAGCATTATGACAAATCATACCAGAGTAACAGAGGCACTTGAAATACTGCATTTTATATAGCTACTATTGAATTATATATAGTTTTACTTCATAGTTAATCTTTAAATATTAGAACTTATAGCTCATTTTCCAGCATAAAGTCTGAGAAATTTTGAAGCAGAAAAGTCACGTTCATAGGATTTTAGTTCAAACCTAGGTGGACGAGATGGTGTTAAGATTATGTGGCTCAACCCCCAAAACTAAAGTCCACAACTTCTCTTAAAGAGGCTAATGTTGTATTAAATGTTTTATTCTGAGGGGATATCAGAAGTCTGCTCTATGAGAATAACTTCTAATGTTACCTTCTCTGGGTTCAGGTGACTTGTTCATTGCTTTATAAACTCAAAAGATCTTCCTTTCTTAAGCACCCTTCTCAAATGAGAATCTGGAGTTTGAAAAAAAGATCTGTAAGTGTTTATCTCACATATTTAAGTGTGAAGAACCTTTCCTCAAGTCTTAGCCCACAGTAATACTAAAAGTAAACGGGGAAAGTGCTTTCCTCCTCCTGTGTTCATTCACAGCCCAATAAAACTTCTTTTTAAGTGCTTTTTTATTTTTGCAGAATCTGTGGTTACCAGCAGTAGCTGATCATTTTGCTTTAAAAAGCCACAGAACTGGCTTTAAATGGCTGATCCATAGATTTTTTTTTTTTCTCTCTACAAGATACTTACTTACATGTCAACTCCCAAAGCAATGAAGAATTACCTTTTTCCCCTCACTATCGACAGCCTTAGCTTCTGTAGTTAGCCAGGCTGTGTGATCCTATCCATGCCCTTCTCTGACCTTGGACTACTCTTCCAAGGGAGAGCAGAAATGGAGGAAGGCTCCTCCCGGAGGTACCCTTAAAGCAGATAATTAGTCCATAGTCCGGCTGAAGCTCAGTGGCAGTTCCCCAAGTCCCTAACACATTCTCCTTTAAGATGTTAGTTAGGCAGGCAGATGGAGCCCTGAGCACTTAGGATGATAAAAGATATCCTAACAACAGCCCAAAATAACTGACAGAGGTTCTATTTGTTCAGAACCTTCTATTAATTGGGAGAGTTAAGTGTCTCTTCGAAGAGGAGGGATTTATAAGCCTATGCTTCATTTTATGAAAAGACCCAAGTTCCTGCCCCACCAGTCTCTTGAATCCTCTTGTATGCCCGAGAATACCAAGTATTGGGTACCTGCTTTCTCATACCTTCTTTAAATGATCTCAGCAGGTGGACGAGTTTAGGAGTGCTCTCTACTCTTTTTAAATGGACAGAGGAAAGACCTGTAAGCCTTATTTGCATTATTTTATCAACAGCCGCAAAGCTACATACATGCTCTTTGTAGAGAAGCACCAAAGGAAAACCTTAATTTGGAAGGATTCATTTTAAATAAAAATAGTTAACAGCCCTTACTTCAGGGAAGAGAAAGGCATTTTAAAGCTAGAACATGAAAGTTTCCCCCCTTGATTTCAGTACTGAATGGCTCTTAACAAGGACTTCTGAAAGTTTCCCAATAGCCAGATTTTGGCTAACAGATTACATCTCTTCCTGAGAAGATGCCTGAAAGAGAAAGAGAAGCATCTGTTACAGGCAGAATGCTGCAGAGGAAGAAATGACACGGCAGTCACCTGCATTCATTTTAGAATTAAAATGACTACTGCTTAGATTTATTTGAGGCAAACTCTCGATATACCTGGATTTATCCTTTACCTTTTGTCTACAGTGAATTCTCACCCAGAAAATCTATGAGTTAAACGCCAGATTTCGGCTGTAGGAGAGGAAGTTTCAGAGAAAGTATGCTCCAGTTGTGGAATCATCATGTTGGGCAGCGGCAACCCCACAGCCAGCAGTGATCCCTCTGTTCTCTCAGCCTCCCTTCCCTATGACTCCTGCTTGACTTTCCCAGAGATAAGAAGTTGTACTGTTAAGTCTCCAAGGCATGGAACTCCCATCTTATCCCCCTAGCCTTTTTTGGAAGGGAGCCTTTTCAGGAAAAGGAGGTATGGAGAGTAGTCAGCAATTCTGGATCCCTCTGGGTACTTGGTGCTGTTAAGAGTTGCTTAGAGATGGGGCACCAAATGAGTTGGGTGAGAAGAGTCTGCAGAACAGAGGCAGCTTGTACTGGAGAAGTGTACATGTGCAGACATAAAAAAGTAGGTACAGGGAAATTTTGCAGTTGTTCTCGTGGGAGGTGGGGGCAGTGTCGGGTCTGCATAGACCGGAAGCTAGAGCACCCTAGTCCTCAGCAGGTGCAGGGCTGAAACTGAGTAATGGGAAGCACCACAGTAAGCTTTCATCATCACTGGAAGACACCAGCCCCCCTTCCTGGCAATGGCAGCATCTCCCTTTTTCAGTATCAGGGGCTTCTCCCAGCCTCTCATTTGTTTCAGCAGCTCTTAGCTCGACAAGCTGCTAAGAAACAGCCAACTGTTAGAGCAGGAGCTCTGTACCCTAACTGGGCACAAGGACAGATGTTCTCTTGGGTTGCTCTACTTACCAGGCTAATCCCCTTCACACTGGCATTCCGGTGTGCCATTGGTGTGTTCTCGGGGATGAGGGTGCAGCCAGCCAGTGTGTCCAGAGAGGCTAAGATTGTGTCATACAGGTGATCTGCATGGCTCTCCAGCTCGCTGGGCTGCCTGGAGATCCTCCCAAGGATGTCCTTTAACACTAACAAATGAGGTTTAAAGCAGTCAGGCCAAAGAGACAATGCAAGTGTGTTTTCAAAAGAACATATAAGGGTGTCGCACTTTATACAAGACAGGAACATGGCAATAGTTTCACAATGTCCACTTTTTTTTTGACAGTGACTCTCCAGGGACTGTATTGCACTGGAGGATCTATGCTGTTAACTTCTGATTAAAGCTGAGAGAATTATTTCATTGGCTCCACTTTGGAGTTAACGTAATCCACAAAAAGGCACAGAGACATAGGTGTCTGGTGACTGGAATTATCTGACTTTTAGAGATAAGACCCAGGGCACACACCCAGATCCTGTGGGGCAGAAGTGTGAAATGAACCAAAACAACATGCCAAGATTAGGACTCTGGGTCCTGCTACCAGGTCCTATCAGCTTGTTGGCTGTGGGACTGTCATTTAGCACATATGTGGGTGATCTAGTAATATGGGAATGCTTGTGAACCCTTTTTTGTGGGTCCTAAATGAACAGACTTCAAAAGAAAATTACCTGAAAGCAGACTAAGACAAGAGGGTTAGTGAGGCCAAGATTCCATCCCCTACAGGTCAAGTATTCATTTGAGGAAGGGATGGGCTAGGTTCAGAGTGCATCACCCACAGCAGGCTTGTTTCTTTCTCTTAAAAACTTTACTTCCTTTGTTAAACACAAAGGCTGCTTTTGCTTCCTGCGCCTTTATCAGCTGTGTTCACACTCTCCCTAGTTTCCTGCCACAGCTGCAACATCTGCTAACGGAGGAAGGGAAAGGGGAAGCTGCCTATCTGCAAAGGATACTGACAGATGGGTGGAAGAAGGAACAGGGGCTGGCTGTGTTGAGATCAGCCCCTGGGGAAGCCACGTCAGTGCGGCATCATCGGGGCAACGTGCCCAGCTGACAACTGTATGAGAGCCAGCAAGGCAGGCCGAGGAGTGCGGCCAGGGCACACAGCACAGCTCACCTGGAAAGGCAGATGGGCTGGGTTCTGCCCTCCCACATTCACCAGACCTTTGCCCGGTCCTCCTGCGAGTGGTCAGTGGGATTCAGGGGACCTTTATTTTTTGAACTTTTATTTTACAATGTTAGAACATTTGGTTGGCTCCAAATAAAAGGAAAGCTGGGAACAGTGATGAAATTATCTTTCTCAGTTGAGACTTTGATGTTTTAATTGAATACATGCATACAGGAGCCTGGTTCAGCTTGATGCCAATGGGTTCTAGTTATTTGATCCAGTATAATGAGAAATTAGTGTGTGAGACAGGACCATCAACTCATGCACCAAAGTAACTGGGTCAAAATGTTGTGAAAACCTGCCAGATAGCCATTGGGGAGGCCTTTGGCTGGAGGCCGAGATGGGCAGGTTTTGAAGGAATTAATCTGACGGCCTGTCCCTAAAGTTATACTTGTGGCTGAGGAAGGAAGCAGGCTCTGAAGAAGCTTGAGGGGGGCGGGGGGGCGGGATGGGAGGTGTCCATGCTCAGGCTCCACTGTCTCTGACAGCATGCTCTGGAAAGAAGAGTTGTGCACCTAGCTGGAGAGACCCTGTGAATGTCTAGGGAAAGTTGTGATTTTCACAAAACAGCCAAGTTCCTGATTATTCTAAGCAGAGGGTCGGGAGGGGCAGGGTGTCACTCTGAAACCATAGAATACCCAAAAGCCTCTTTTTTTTTTTGGCTGCACTGTGCAGCTTGTGGGATCTTAGTTGCCCAATCAGGGATCAAACCCAGGCCCACAGCAATGAAAGGGCCGAGTCTTAACCACTGGACCACCAGGGAATTCCCTAAAAGCCTCTTATTTGGGCAGTAAAATACCTCTAGACTCCTTTGGAGAGGAGGGCAAAGTGGGTTGTTATTACTGATTAAGCACTAAGAAGTATTACTGAATCACTTTTTAAATGAAGGTCCAAGAACCTGAAGCTTGTAAGAAGCCCACTGTTACACGTGGCCTCCAGGAAGTGTCCTGGTATTGAGCTCTTCTGTGCTGCTGAGTCTGGAGGTGCAGGAGCCTGAGCCGGGGGGTCAGCGCACAGGGGCTGGAGCCAGGCTGCCACTCTTTGTGTGGCCCAAGGCAGATGCACAGCTCTGTGAAATAAGAGTAATAATAGTATCCATCTCACAGGGCTGTGATGGAATGAAAAAACCGGTATGTCAAGTGCTTCAGCACACAGTATTCAAGAAGATACTGGTGTAATTACAAGTGGCAAAGGAGCCTGGCATATTGAATTTCTGCCCCAATAAAAACCAAAAAACCCTAAAAACCCTAGTGCAAGAGAACATCAGAAGAGCCAAGACAAAGGCCTCCCGCAGGCAGGGGATCACCAAGGGCTCACATAATTCACACTGGATAAGCCATGCCCTGCTGAAAACCCTTCAGTGGCTGCTCGTCCCATCAAAACCCCTCTGCCCATTCACAGTTTTCAATCTCGGTTTTTTCTTCCCAGGGGACTTTTGGCAGACGTTCAGGGTTGTCACAACTGGGGAGGTGCTGCTGGCGTCTAATGGGTAGAGGCCAGGGACGCTGCTGAACACCCTGCAACGACAGGACGGCCCCCTCACAGCAAAGCATCGCATGGCCCAGAGCGTCAGCGGTGCTCAGGCTGAGAAACTCCGGTCTCCACCACCTCCCTACCGCCCACCGCCCACCACTTCTGGTCAGGAAAGCGCCACCTCTTCCCATCTCAAGCCAGTGGGTCCTGCCCACTTCTGCTTATGCTGTTTGCTTCCAGCGTAAACCCCATTTCACTCCAAAACTGAGGCAAGACATAGACGGGCTCTTTCAACACTTGGTTGTTCAGTCTTACAAGAAAATAGCGGCTGCTCTTGGCGGGGGCAGGGGGGTGGTCCATCAGTTCACTGCTTTAACCTAGCGTTCTCCTAGCTCATCCTATCATACCTGCCCCCAGCAAGGTCAAGGCCAGTCGTAAACCCCTGCCCCCTGCACACTGAAATGTACTCTCGAAGTCTGTGATTTTCACCCCTTTCTAACCTGGGACCCCATCCTGCAAAAGGGGCTCGAGCTTAGTTTGTGCACTGCTGTCCACTTGTCCCCTCTCATCAGTTCACTTCTTCCTTCAGTCTCTTCCTGTAGAATAGACTGACTGCTCTCAGGTCCTGGAACAAATCCCTCCCCAAACAGATAATCTGAGAGGGGTCCAGCCTGCACTGCGAAAGGATGGGAACCCTAGGGACTCCCCGCTGTGAGCACCCTAGCCGAAAGCCAAGGACAGGACCCTAGCCGAAAGCCAAGGACAGGACTAAAGCCAGCATTCCCATCCAGGACACCACCAAGGAAAGATAAAAGCAGAAACTAGAGAGCACGGTTCTTGCAGGCTCAATGCCTAACTTCTTAGCACCTGCAGGGCTGTGACTGCCTCATGTGTTTGCGGGGCTGTGATGATTCGACGGGCTGGCAGATGGCTGTGGGAGTCGAAGGCAACGGGTACGGACGGCGGGGACTCTGGCACTAGGCTCCTTCCCAGTGACAGTGTGGGTCCCGGACTTACACTGAGAGGTATTAAGCCCTGGCTTAATTCAAAACCTCAAGCGTCTCACCTGGGGTATTATCCAACAGGCACTGAAGTAGAATCTCCCCTTTCTGTAAGACGCTCTCCGTCAGGGACTGGTGTTCATCTATATCTTTCTTAAATTGCTTAAAGCATATCAAAAAAAAAAAAACTTTCATTACTACCATTTCGTAGAAGTTATTAAAAATGATCCCTTGTTCAGTAGCTGGATTCCCCTTTTAACCCACCCAGTCTTCAGAATCCAAGTGAACAGTACGATAGTTTAACTTCACCTTCTCTGAGCCCAAGGCAAACACAGAGTCAATCCTTTTTTCTGTTTACAGTTTGACAAAAGAAAAGCTTTCTTTTCCCTGGCAGAGCCTGGCTCACGAACAGCCTGGAGTCAGGGTTTCCTGCTTGTGCCACACCTCACAGGGTTCTCTTTAAACTCACAGGCCTGTGAGAGTCTCAAAACATGAACCTGGTAAGTAAGAGCCACAAGGGCAACGCTTTCACGTGACCACAGGGAGCTGCTGCCTCGCCCCACGTCCTCCCCTCAATGTCCTGCTTTCTGTGGACCTCAGGACATGGGAAGGTGTCAGGGAAGCTGACAGTCTCCTAAGCAGCTGATTTCTTTTCCCCTCGCAGTATCAAGCCTTGTAGCCGTTTTTGGTTTTTCCTTTAGGTGCTAAGATGTAAAGTCAAATCCGTGACCACCTTTAGTACAGGGTGCAGAAACTGGCAGTTTAATTTTGAAGTTACAATTTTCCTTTTGGATTTATTGTATTCCTGTCTTCAGTTTTCCTTTGCCCTATTACCTATACTTATTATTTTATTCTTCAGCACCCTCTGCAGTTTATATGCTGCCAGGAACCCACTGTGTTATTAAGACAAAGTATGTAAGAGAGAGTCACAAGTGAAAATACATGAACACAAGCGTGCGTGCTTATATTAGGTCAAGGTAGCTCATACATATGCCTGAGCCAAGCCCCATTCTGTGTAGGGAGGGACTGACAGTGTGGTCCCACTCTGTGACACAGCTGTGTGGATGACACAAGTGGGCTAGGCTTTGCTGACCTGCAGGGGTAACTCCCAGCTCAGATCTCAGCTCTACCCACAGAGCAAGATAGTTGCTTACGACCACCCTGGAAGTGGAGGTGCAGGAGGACAGAATGCGGGATAAAACGGAGGGCATGGAGCTGTTCTATGTGACACCTGCTCTGACGGGAGCGGGGCTGGGGCACTCCAGAAAGGCCACCCAGGTAGATCCAACTAGGGCAATTTCCAGGCACTGTCCTCTCCCCACAGTGGTGCTGCCCCTGGGCCTCCCGGGGGTGGGCCCTGCCCAGCTCTGCACATATTCTCCAGGGGTCCCACCCAGAGGACCCCTGCACTCGGCCTTCCTCTCCTTCCTCAAGCGTACTCCGGGGAAGGAACTCTGGCAGCCTCTCTCCATACAGCAGGAAACAGCATTCCCACTAGGGTAGGGCAGCTGGCCCACCCAGGCAAGCCCCCTCCCCTAAACCTTAGTAGGCTCCAAGTTGTAAAACAAAGGCCCGCCCTCCTGCCTGGGTGTGGTGGGAGCTCTGAGTGGGGTGGTACGGCCCTGGCTCAGGCACAAGTAAATCACACGCTCTCCTACTCAAAGAACTGTCCCAGAAAACCCTTTCGAGACTAGCATCAGTTTCAGACCACAAATACCACCTCTGCTCCTTCAGAAGAGGTGAGAAAGGCTTGGCCAACCAGACATGCCAGAAGTCAGTGGGTACTTCAGTCACAGTTAATGTTTATACTTAGGGTAACTGATTATCATCCAATTCAGAACACTTTTGAGAATGAAGGGGGACCTACTGATAATTATGCCAGAATAGCACAAACTGTCACCCAAAATACACCTGTTCTAAAGTCAAGTTAACTGGAACCCACAAAGATTTTTAAAATAACAAAATCTAAAAAGAGGCAAAACTCCACCCCCAAAAAAATACCTTGAGAAGCAAACTGGATCCTATTTTTGTTTAAATACCATCAAAATGCCTTGCGTATATTCTGGAGTCAGTACAATTGCAGCTCAGATCCTTAAATCCAGTCAGTGTTGTCCAAAAGAGCTTTCTGTGATGCTGCAAAGGTTCTGAATGCTCTGTTCAATCAATATGGTAGCCACCAGACAGACGTGATGACTGAACACTTGGAACGTGGCCAGATAACTGAAAAATCTGATCTTTAATTTTACTTAATTTCAATAGCCATGTGTGACTCATGACTTCCGAAGAGTGCAGATCTATGCCTATCAATCCCTGAGATATTTGGGAAATCACATCACAAATAACCCTGAAGTATTTTTGATTGAGGATAAATAAAATGCACTTTCTTCAAATTCTACTTGGCCTGGGAAATAACTCATACATGTTACAGTTTTTCAGCTCTAAGAATTTGAAAAGAACCTCTGATTAGATTTCAGGTAAAAGTCAACGGACCACAACATACACAGTGTCAGTTATTTGAACTTCTACTTTCTAATCAAGTAATTTAGCCACCACTCTCATGAGTGAACAGTCAGATGCCAGGACCACACATTACCCGGTAAAGCTGCAGAGAAGACTTGAGGCCTGTAAGGCTGGACCTGGATGCAGTCAGGTGGTCAGCAGCTTCTGCTACATTATACAGCCAGCGGATCAGCTCTTCCAGCTGACAGCAAAATGTCTGTGTAGACAAATTAACACGTGGTGTTACCTGTGGAACCGCTGTTTACATTTTCAAAGGCTAAAAATAATACCTGGGGGAATCCCAGGATACAGACTGTGCACCTTTCGAGAGCATTCCCCACTGAGGCGCTATCTCCTCTCTCCTCCATGCCTGTCCCCACCCCGTGACTCCAGACCTCCGCCAGGGCAGTAAGAAGAGCGCACCTGGTTCTGTTGCCCCCTCGGTCTGAGAAAGTCCAGCCCCGCAGGTAGGGACAGAGGAGCTCAGGTGAGGGCAGGGACGGGGACAGCCCAGAAGGGGCCTGCCTGGCACAGAGGCCAGTTCCTGGGTCAGCACTACCGCCAACTCTAAAACTGCTCCTGGGGAAGACGTGGACGTAAAATACGTGACCGTGTTCATGACTGACCTGATCCTATGCCTGAAAACGACTGAATTAAAACTGCTTGTCCCTGTTCTGCTCCCACCCGCCCAGGAAGTTGAGGCCCTAGACTCCTGCCACCCACTCATCAGGGGTGGCCGTGACCCAAGCACTTCACCCCATGGTCTCTCTCAGTCTTTCATCACAAAGGAGGGCACACGCTAACACCTGTCCTACCTGCTCCACCATACAAGTGAAGTCATCCACGGGACATCGGGGGGTAGGTTAAAGCCCTCCTTGAGAGCTAGAAAATTTCTGTGATGTCGCTCCTGGGGACACAGCCCTCGGGCTGGCTGCCCTGCTGCCGTGTGGACACAGCACCTGGGCGCTTAGCCGGAAGGCAGGCCGTGGGCTCTCCGAGTGTGTGTACAGCCACACTCCAAACATCCTTGTGTCAGGGACTACGCAAAGCCCTTGGCAGGAATTACTTAATTTAGTCCACACGACAGTCCCACAGAGGCAAAGCTCCCCATTCTACAAGCGAGCAAAACTAAAGAGACTGAGCCAAAGTTCACATCTGCCTGACACTGACAACCCGATTCCTCGGAGTATTAGCTCCATCTCCTGGTGGTATCAGGTGGTCCACAAGAGAAGGTTCAGTGACCGAGAAGCCCAGGAAACAGTGCATCTGATACCTCCGACCCTGCAGTTACACCACTTTATCAAACTGAAGCTCTGAGAAGTCCTTCGGCCACGAAGCACTTTCACTGAGCCCATTATTTCCTGAAGGCATCTGAGCGCCGGTCCTTCCTGTGCAGAGTACCTGTTAATCCTCAAGGTCAAGTGCCTCGGGGAGCAGCCTGGGTAGTGGTTAGCAGCTCAGGCTCAGCCCTTGCTAACTGTGAACGGGTAGGTTACCTCATCTCTCACTGCCTTTTTCTCCAACTGTGACATGAGAACGCCAGTAGAAAGTCACGAGGGTTAGACAGGAGAAGGTGCAATGCAGTGCCTGGCGCGTAAGTACTCAGTGTCAGTAGGTTTTATTATGAGGCTAGCGGGCTGGGGGAAGGAAGAAGACCCCTCTGCGAGGCCGCCTTTACCTTCACCCCCTGCGCGAGCGACTCTTTTCCCCGCTCTCCTCCTTTCCTGGGAGGCTGCCCCTCGGCATCCGGATCCGAGGATGCCCGCTGGTCCAACATCGCCGGCAAGGAGGCGCGTGTTCTCAGTGGTCCAGAGGAGGCCCCCAGGGTCTGGCTGCTCACCAGACTGCCCTCTCCCGCTGAGCCCCTTGCGCGGACGAAGGGGCGTAGCAAACAGTGGTTGTGGTCCTCAGGGCTTCGGGACCCTCTGAGGGCAGCCCCAGAGGGAAGCTGGCTTTGGCTGGAGTCTGACGGGAGGGAAGCTGGCCCATCACTGTCTGACACATCCAGGGATCTCTGCCCTTCGGCAGCATCAGTGGGCAGGGGCACCAAGGTGGGAATGCAACCCAGATACGAAACCAAGCTAGAAACCTGCGTCAGCCGAGAGGGCAGGGCCAGATACTCGTCATCACTTTCCGCCTCCTCTTGTGGTTTCCATCCAGACTCCGTGCAGGCGAAGCGCCCGATACCCTGGCTGGCCCCCTTCTCCCTTTCCAGCCTGGGTGAGGGCCACCCTCTGTCCCGTGTTCTCAGGTGGGGAGAGCCCAGCTCAAGGTGCTTGCCCACAGGTGGCCACTGCTTCAGGCCCCTCAGGGTTGGCTCTCTGCTCTCCCAAGGAGTGTCCCTACTGCCTGGGGCTCTGGGGGTAGAGGCAGTGGGGCTACAAGATGCCAACCCCACACTGCCCTGCTTCTGGGGTACTCCAGAGGGCCACCGCTTAAGGATTGGCTCTCTGGGCCCTGAGAACGGCAGGGCAGCGGCCTCTGCTGGTGGGCAACTGTGCGAGACATTAGTGGGTGACTTCAGGGTGCTTGCTGGGGAGACAGAGAAGCTATCTAGGTCTATGCCTGAGTCCTGCAGGACGGGCTCAGCCAGCACGCGGCTGTCAAGGTGTTTTGGGAGCTGAGGCCCGGGCCTGAGGGGGTAAGTATAGTCCAGGAGGTCTTCATACTCTTTATTCGGGCTCCAGAGCGGGGAGTGGCGGTCAGGGGAGGGAGGCAGGGAATCCGGCAGCACGCAGGCCCAGTACTCAGCCTGGAAGGAGAGGCGCCTCCTGCCCAGCCCGCGAGCATCGCCCCCTGAGGACACTGGCTGGGGCGACCACTGGAGCCGAGGCCCCAGCCCCACCAGCGAGGGGGCCAACGGCGGGACAGCCAGCTCCAGGGAGGAGGAGACCTTGGCAAGGGAGCAACTCTGAGGCTCCACCTTTTCCTGGTGACCCTGGAGGCTGCTGCCTGGGGATGGGGCACAGACGCTGCAGCTGGAAGACTGAGGCGCAGTGGCACCTGGGCTCACCGCGGACCTCCACCTTGACGGGAACGGGAACCCTGAGATGTGAGACTGTGGGCTGTGGTCTAGCGCCTGCGGCGACTCCACTGGGGACGGGTCCTCTTCAGTGTCAGCATCATGTCCTGAGCAAAGGGCGGTGGTTCTGGGAATGGTGTGAGTCTGAGGTAGCTCCTCTGAGGCAGAAAGCCTAGTTTCCTCCATCTGCAGTGACAGGAGGGAAGGAAAAGGTGAAAATAAGCACGCCAAATTTCTTTCCTCAATGACAAGTTGGCACTTTTCTCTGGGGACCCAGATGATACTCAGGAAAGGTCTTGAAAGGAAGAGCCTGCTACCTGGTGCAAGAATCAGACAGAGTGTGCTGCTGGTGACTGGAGACGCAGCCTGCTCTGGGGAGCAGACTGCCTGCCCCGAACTGATCCTACCCCCTGTTCCTTTCCAAAGTTCTTCCTACGCAGATGCCTAGTTCGTGAGTGAGCAGAACTCAAATAGCTCTGTCGTGCTGAGGCTGGAACACACTGCCTAACCTTTGAGAAGCGTGTCCTGGACAGGCAGAACCTCAACCATTCTGTCTCTGACAGGACTCACATCCAAACCTGGCACTCAGGCAGCCCACCTGGCTCAGCTCACACCCAGCGGTGACGCGTGGCAAAATGAGTCATTCACCTCAGCCTCTTCACTTCAAGTTTTTAACATGCTCGATGAAGAGGCTGCCCCCAAGGCGGGCAGGAGAGCACAGAGGTTAAGGGCATGGGCTTTGGAACCAGACAGACCTGAGGCCAGCCCCTAGCTGCCAGCTTCCAGATGTACGACTTTGAGCCTCACTTCTCTCACCTGTAAAATGGGGGTAGTGATAGGACCGCTTCCTCAGGACATGTGGATTAAATGAGCTCAAGGGTGAAAAGCACAGGGTGAGAGCTCCACAAACAGCAGAGTTATAATAGCACCAGACTCGCACTCAGGAAACAGCCCATTTCTGTGTTGGCTCACGTGCTGCCGGCCTCACTGAATCTGACTCAGGTACCCGAGCCTGGCACCGCCCCAAGCCCCCAAGCAGGTGGGCCTAGCCTGTTTTCTCCCAGTCAGCTCAGCACCTCCTCACAAGATGGGCCTCTGGGGGCAGCATGTGGCGGTCAATGCCACAGGTGCCATGGAAGAGATCAAAGCCGTTCCCATGAAAGGCCTTGGCAAGCAGAACACAACAGGACGTAGAGATGGGAGGGGCAGGTCCATCAGATAACCTTCCCAACTATACTGAGGGCCTGAAAGATCCGGTGATTTGCCTGAGGTCACAGACACAGGCAGGACTCCCTGCTCCACGTGACTCCCATTAGGCGAGGCTGCCCTGTAATCAGGGAGGCCCCCCAAATTCTTCTTGCCCAGAGATGGTGCTGCCCACCATAGGGGCTCTAAGGTACCGCCAGGTTCCCTGGGTCCCAAGGAGATACAGTCTCAGAGCCCTCAGGAGCCCACAGCCCTGGACCCTCCTTTCGCACATCTCCTCAGGGGCCCCGTAGAGCCTACACATCACCAAGTCAAAAACAGGACATGGCTCCCCCTGTCAGGGCTCCCCTGGCCCAGCCCTCTGGACAGCAGGTCTTGGCCATAGCTTCCCTGATCCTCAAAAGGTCACCAGTCACACTCCTGAGGAACAGGAGATGCTGTGGACAGAGCCCCCTGCTGGCCCCAAGGCCCAACTCTCCATGTGAACCTGTAAAACAGAAATCATCACACCCAAGCTCCCCGACTTCCCCACCTCGTACAGGGGCTGGGAAAGCGTGTCAGAGGCTGAGACAGTGCTGGAAGGTACTCTCACAGGACAGCTTTAGGTGACGCTACAGCCCCACTTGCCTCAGCCCCTACCTGGCTTCTCACGGGGTGCCCATCTCCAGTCCCCAGGCTGGCAGGGGGAAGCAGGGAACTGAGATCCGCCTTAGACCCACCCGCTGCCAGCTCCCTGCTGGCCCCGCTGGCAGGCTCCCGAGGGGCCAGGGCCAGTCCCACCGTGGCAGGCGGGGGCAGGGAGCCCCTGGGCACCCCCAACAGGGGAGGCAGGCCCCCCTCGGCTTGCAGGTGGGGTGGCTGCTCCCCACGCGCAGGCCCTGCGGGGTCCAGCTCCTGATGCAGGCAGCTCCACCCCCCAGGGCACAGGGCCTTCGTGGCCGCAGCTGCCTCTGCCTTTTCTTCTCCCAGGGCCATGGAGATGTTCCTAGATCAGGGCTCTGCTGAAGCTTCAGCTCCCTACAAAATGGGAAGGGGAGAGAAGAGAAGCTTTCTGCATCTACGGCTAAGAAACCTTGTTTTTTACCTTTTAATGATTAAGACAAACACTTTTTTGGCCTAAAGAGCAAATGATGGCTCCCTCCTCGAAGGAAAACAGAGAGGTCTGGCTTTTCCTCAGCTCCAGACCCTTCCACAGGGGACACGGGAGCACGTCACTGTGTCCTCCACTGTTGTGTGGCTGGCAGCAGTCCCAGCAGCAGGTGCCAGGAGGCTCAGTGCAGGCCCCAATTACAGTCAAGGTCTGTCCTGCCTCAAGCCGCCCTTCCGCCCCTGTTGCTTTGGCCTAGCCCCGCTGGGTAAGGGGCCCGGCCTGGGCCCTCCCTGCGCCAGCCTGCAGCAGTTGTCGTCGCAACACACCCAGCGGCCGAGAGGCAGCCTCGCACCCACACCCGGCCTGGGGGGCTCCAAGACGGCCCGTGACCGGAGGGTGCAGCAGCTCTCTCCTGCTGACTGGGTTACAGGTAACCGGCGACGGAGGGAGCCGTGCAAATCCGGCTGGTAACAACGGCAACGGCCACGCCGCATGCATGCACGTGACAGTGAGAGAGAAGCACACCGGGCAGGCGGCGGGCGGGTGGGCAGGCGGGGCAGGGGACCAGGGTGAGCACTCGGGGCAAGAGAAGGAACAATCTGGGAGCTGGATCTGAAAACAGAACCGTTCCAACAGGAGCTTCAGGGACCACAGAGGGAGACCCCCCCCCCCACC